TGTAAGACACTCTTAAGGAATGCGGCCAGCGCAACAAAGTGCTCGCGGCTACTCAGTGGTGTGGGAGTAGGTTCAATAATAAAAGTTAGCTTAATAGGGCGCCACTGATTTATAAAATACAATCCGCGGACTTAAATCAGAAAGTCCCTGATCTCCAAAATTCCTATAAAAATGTACCTACCCAATGTACCTATCCTTCAAAATAAAACAATTTTGCCTTGGTTTGGTTGATGTCAGTAGGAATAAAATAAGAGTCAAATCTAAAAACAATGATTAAAAATCTATTTAATAAAATGGGGGGTATATGTTCAAAACTGCAAAGGCCAATATAAGGCAATATGTAAAATACCACAATATATATTATTATTAATAGTAAAAAAAAAAAAATCAAAATGTAGCAAGGACCAATGTGGCCTTATAAATGACACTGCAATGAATTTAAGATTTACCAATAGATTAAATGTTTGACTACCTTAGTTAAATGAGAGTAAAAGAGAACCAACAGTTATTAAAGATGTTAATAAGAGTAATTAAAACCTGTGCACGCTTATACCATGGTATACCGGGGCGGGTTTGTACAAAAATGTCACCTTAAATATAGTACATTAAAAATCATTGGTACTGTACACCCTTGTAATGATTAAGGCAGTAAAACAACCTTGGAAATATACCAATTAAGTATCAGAAATACCATCAATAATAATAATAAAATAATTTAAGAAATGTTATAAAATCAATGGGTACATCACCCCTTTTGGTCCTCCCTGCAGTCTAAACACCCATTTCTATAACTGTCTCCTGACAGCCTTACAACCTGCATAACAGACCCCATCAACTTCTATTGACTCCCTTCTTACAACGTGAATTTCGGTCTCAACTCAGTGTTGTGGGTACTCTTGACACCTCAACTTCGAGACTAATAAACCGTCAGAGAGGAAAAACCCACTGGTAAAGATTCTGTAGGCCTCGCTAACAGCCTAACAAAAAAACCCTGAAAGAGTACAAAAGTCTTAGAACTCCTTCATACTTATAAAAAAAAATGAAAAATCCCAACCCTCAAATAGTATATAAATGATTGGAATTAAATAGCAAAATCCCCTGAAACCTGTAGGTTATTTTAACAAAAAACCCCTTAATTAATAGCCCATTAATGACCCTTAAACGATTAATGAGTCTGCACATGTCCTCGTGGAGGTCAAATTGCCCTTTTTTTATAGAATCCCAAATATTTACAAAAATACTGATAAGCTAATCTAGATATTGATAACGGAAAGGTAAGTTTGAGAATAGTAAAAACGTTTAAAATTACCTGGTTACAATTGGGCTAGTTGAACAAATGTGCTCTAGTGCTTCACACGACAAACCAACAAAATGGCGTAGATTTCGGTTCCAGAAAATTCTGTGTGGTTGGCTTACAAATACGGGTACGACCAAATCCAAAGCTTTCACCCCAAAACCAATTAAGCCAGCAACCACTAAATCCCAGCGTCTTCAAATCCCACAAAAAGGTGGATGTTCCCAAGGAACGTTGCCAAAAGGACCGCTGGTAAAATCTGCCAAGAACTTGTTGTTTGCTCAACGTGCGAATTTAAAAGAGAACGATCCCTTTTCAGCGATTTATTAGGTAGGCTTCAATATGAAAAATTTTCTAGAATTCCAGTTTTTTTTTTTCCTTTAAGATGTCCTCTGGTGCCAGATTTCCGATCTCGACCAGGAAGACGGAACACCCAGTTTGAATCGGAACACAATCAGCTTGAAACAGAACACTCCGAACCACAATGATGACCCACAAAACTCCAAGTTGTTATCAAATTCTCTCCCCTAACACCAATTAACACTAATTAATCACTTATACAAGTTATTAATCGCATCTACTTAGTCTTCAGTCTAAAAACCATCAAAAAGACCGGTGAATGTTTAGGGATCACAGTTACAGTGACTCTATATTACCCACAGCGTTCAAGTACGCCGGCAACGGTGCTCCCGAAACGAATCAACAAGTGGCATATAACCCCACAATATTTCTGGAGGAAAACAAACTTTTGAAAATGGGAAAAGTAAAGGAAATAAGGGTGGAAAATCGATTTAGAGTGTGCTAAAGTGATTTGTGTTGTTGCAGAAATTTTAATAAAGGAAAATACGAGATCCGTAAGTGTTGACAATTGATATTTATTTGAAAGTAAACAAACCTTTTCACCGACATTTAGGGCCTTTTAGAAAACTTTCGAAAGCTAAATAAAGTGAATTCCTATCCTACCAGTAGGGCTTTATTATCCTGAAACTACCCTGTCCTCTAAATACAAAGAATTCCCTCATTATTACCTTGAAAAATATACCTTTAATCAACACCCAGATATTGTTTTGCATCCAACCAAAAGGCAAAAATCTAGCAAAATTCAATGAGCAACCTATCAATCACTGAAAAATATTAAACCTCAGGTATACAGCTCTATAAATATTCTCACAAATAACTGAATTAATTACTGAATTTATTCGAAATTCTCAATTACGTTAAGGCAAAATTTTAACGTAACACTTGGTCTAACGCGTCCGATTCCTTGATTTACAAGATTGTTGTCTCCCCACAGGAAAAAGTTACTAAACGTTCGGTTCTTTCGCATACAGCAAAAATCTTTGATCCGTTCGGTCTTTTGTCTCCCTGTATAATGGTTTCTAAAATAATTATGCAAAAGCTTTGGTCGCTAAAATTAGGATGGGATGAGCTTTTGCCCGCTGATTTGCAATCCCTTTGGCTTCGGTTTTATTCTGAACTTCCCTGTTTAGATAAATTGTTTATACCTCGTCATGTTATTTGTGTTGATGCTGTAGATATTGAATTTCATGGATATTCAGATGCCTCAGAAAAAGGGTACGGTGGTGCAATATACATAAGATCAACTAATGCAGATGGGAAAGTTTTGGTTCGTTTATTATGTGCAAAATCTAAGGTGGCACCTCTGAAATCCATATCTATGCCTCGATTGGAATTGCAGGGTAGTTTGATTTTGGCCAGGTTAGCTGATAAGGTATTTAAGTCTCTTAAGGTAAAGTTTAGTGGCTGCATTTTTTGGACGGATTCAACCATTGTTTTGGGATGGTTACGATCTGAGCCTTCTTCATTGAAAACCTTTGTGTCAAATAGGGTTGCTGAGATTCAGCAAATTACGGGGTCTCATGAATGGAGGCACGTGCCTTCCAAGTCGAATCCTAGCGATTTATTGTCTCGTGGGATATTTCCCAGTGAAATTTCTTGTTCAGATCATTGGTGGACCGGGCCCAATTGGTTGCATATGGGTGAGGAATTATGGCCTCAGGGTGTATCGATTGAAACTGTTGATTTACCGGATAGACGACAACAATCTAAAATAGATAGTTTTGTTTCGCACGAATTTGATAGCTTTTTGTTTGGTAGGGTTTCTTCCTACAACAGGTTGAAACGTTTACTATCATGGATCCTTCGTTTTAAAAATAACTGTTTGCCTTCTCGTCATAATAAAAAGTCCGGATCTCTAACTACAGATGAAGTAGTTAATGCCGAATTGTGCCTTGTAAAAATCTCTCCAAAAATCTCTTTTAGTAATGAATATGACTGTTTAGAAAAGGGAAAAGAGTTGAATCCCAAAAGTAAAATTTTGAGTTTAAATCCGTTTATGGAAAATGGTATTATGAGAGTGGGAGGTAGGCTCCGTAATTCTAATTTTACATTTGATAAAAAACACCCTATGCTTATTGCTTCTGGTCATAAAATCACTAAGCTTATATTTCGTAGTGAGCATTTACGTCTCTTGCATGCCGGACCGCAATTGTTGTTGGCATCTATAAGGGAGAGGTATTGGCCCACCCAGGGTCGCAATTTGGCTCGCGACACGGTGCGTAAATGTGTTCAATGTTGCAGGTATAACCCAGCTGTAACCCAGCCCATAATGGGAGACTTACCGAAATTTCGTTTAACACCTGGACATGCCTTTGACATTGTTGGTGTCGATTACATGGGACCTTTACATATATTAGATCGCAAAGGCCGCGGCGCAAGATTGTCCAAGTGTTATGTCAGCTTATTTGTGTGCTTCGCCACGAAGGCGGTGCACTTAGAGCCGGTTTCTAGTTTAAGCTCTGAAGCATTTATACGACTTTTCGCAGATTTGTGGCTCGACGCGGTCGGCCTAGTCATGTTTTTTCTGACAATAGCTCTAATTTTGTCGGAGCTAACCCTGAGCTAAAGGAACTTGGAAAATTTTTAGTCTCTGATAAAAGTAAAATTATTGATCTCTTATTAGAAGAAAATGTGCAGTGGCATTTTATCCCCGCACAATCGCCCCATTTTGGTGGTTTATGGGAGGCTGGGGTAAGGTCCACTAAGCATCATCTAAAGAGGGTGGCGGGTAAAGCAAATTTAACTTTTGAAGAACTGTGTACTCTTTTAACTCAAATCGAATCAATATTGAATTCCCGTCCGCTTTTCCCTTTATCTCCTGACCCAAACGATTTGCAACCTCTCACCCCCGCCCATTTTCTGGTTGGGAATAGTTTGTCAGAATTGCCTGATCCAGATTTGTGACACATACCCGAAAATAGACTTTCTCGTTATCAACGGGTCCAGCATATCAAACAGAACTTTTGGTCTCGCTGCCAGAAGGAATATGTCCATGAAATGCAACAGCGAGTGAAATGGAAGAGAAATATTTCCGAACTGAAGGAAGGTATTCTTGTGTTAATCAAAGAGGATAATTTGCCGCCATCCAGATGGAAGCTTGGGCAAGTTATTTCGGTCATCCCGGGAAGTGACAACATTAACCGTACGTCGTGTGGTGTCATAAAACGTTCGTTCTCGAAAATTTGTCCTCTGCCCGTTTGCGAGGAAACGTAAGTACTTTTTGAGTTTGTTTTTTTTTTTTGAAGTGAGGCCCTTCAAGGTGGGGGGCATGTTCGGACTATTTTGTTAAAAGACATTTACGGTGTTGGTGCGGTTAATCGCCGTTCAAAGATAGACGCCTGTTTACCGCGAATTTGACTTTGTCGGTAACCGAAATAGCGGTGCTGCCGGTGCCTGGCGCTATCGCCGCGCCGCCCGCATTTTCTTCGTTTTTCGCCCTTTTGGAGTAGTGTGAGTTAATAAAGACTTGTTGTAATAGGGCGATTTTGGCATGGCGCAAAAACCAATTGATTTTATTTGTCCTAAATATAGTTTTTGTTGACAAGTTTGTAATTCAGCTCAAATAGTTTTGTCGTTTGTGGTTAATTAAACCAATTGTACTTGATTAGTAAAATCAAAGTTGTTTGATTTCAAGTAAAACATAGTTTACAGTCCACTGAGGGTTATCGAAGCCCCCACAATTATCATAATAAAGCTGTTTTTAACAAGGTAGGTATGTAATAATTTTACTGAGAAACACTCAGGCAATAAATTTTTAAATTCAAATACCTAATTCAAGTTTAAATAAAAATGTAAAAGATGTACTTACTGATACATGAAAAAAGAAGCTTTCTTGAATTTCACTTCTACTCGGTCTCCAGTTGCATCCTTTTCTGTTTTTTTTTTAATAGTGATTGGTTGGAAGAGGTATGGGAAGACTAATAGTGCTTGGATATTTTCATCTTAAATAAAAGCATAAGTAGGTAATTTTTAATAAAAGTTAATTAAATGTAGTCATTTAATATTTAACACGGTGACTGAGAAGCACAAGCCAACTCGTGGTTGGCAATCCAGAGACTGGCGCCAGCCAAGAGTTTATTCCTTTCTGATTAACTTTCAAAAAGTATATAAAGGACAATATATTTATATAGAAGTATATTGCGCAACAAGCAACTTTGGCTCAAAGACGCTCGACCCCGAGAGAGGGGTTTTCATGAAAATGGCATGGCAGTCAACATGTTAAAGTTGAAAAGTTTATAATAACTAAAAGCTACTTACCACTGCATTCTGGTAAATAAATTTTTCTTTCTTTGGCTTCTTTTATGATGGCTTCAGCCACCTTTGGCCAAGTTGAGTAAATTATATCGACGCTGTCTGGATACTTCCTGTTGAAGTCTGTTTCAATCTAAAAGTATTAATGTAAGTTTCTGGTTTAAGGAAAAAGTCATTTGATTTATGGCGAGATATTTGGATTGTCCGAGAGAAATGTTAAAATTCAAAACTCACCAATTCAATTCCAAAACCTTGCTTCAAACATGGTAATTCATTGAAAACATCATTTAATGAGACAGTTGCGTATAGCCTTTTTCTTGAGCTCAAAGTGTCTTCCCACGCTTCTAAAACTCTGGCATATGGCTCAATAGCCACCTTCAGAAATTGTAAACTTGCTTCCTCTGTATATGATTTCAATTTTGGACTTGCAACTTTTGCTTTTGCAAGAGGTTGTTTATGAGCGTTCGCTAGTCTTAGCTGCGTTTTGCTATTCATGTATTTGGTATATAATTTACCCCTGGGACCAACTGATTTTTTTCCTTTTTTTTTCATCATGTAACGTTTCATATGGAAGATAATATGTAGCTGCAACTTCATTTGGGAAAAAATCCTGAATGTCATTGGCCAGTTTTGTAAAAACACCTGCCTTGATTCTGAAATAAATCAAGGTACCTACTTATATATTGTAATTGATTTTTTTTTGTAATTCTTACTCTTCTCCATATAAAGAAAAAAGTTCTGTGATTAGCACTAACCAGCTTTTGCCTCAAAGAATTGTTGAGCTTTTTTTTTTTTGAAAAAGAACAATTTTTCCGTCAGTGTATTTTGCCAAACTTGCCTCTGAACCCTAAAAAAACTGTATATTATGTAAAGGTTGCTTCAAAATGAAAGTTTCATCTTATGGCGTAAATTTAGATGTTCCCTATTAGGTCTGACAGGAACAGAACAAACAATAATAATTTCCCAGATTGGTATAAAGTCTGCGACAAGTGGGTCCGGCAGCTTTTAAACAGTGGAGAATGGGGTGGGTTTTGAAGCTGTAAATATTTATAAGGCGCCACGTAGTTAAGCCACTTATCGCTTATAGAACAGATGATAGATTGAAAAATTATTAAGTCCAGACCCAAGCACTAACCACGAACTCTAAAAATAATCGTTGCAAATTGTCCCAAAAATTAAGCTGCTGTTGTCCCTATAAGGTGGTGGGGGGTTAATTGATTTAAGCCGGAGTCTATTTAATGAATTGAAGTTTATTGGAAATGTATGTATATGAGTACTTCAAAAAAAAAGGAAAGTGAAAATATCACAGTTGGATTAAAAATTAATTAAGTCTTCTTGTTTGTCTTTAAAGGATCATCATTCGACCGTAGATAAATACCCTTGACTGAGGATGGACTGAGAATTAGGAAACAAATACAACCGTCTCACTCAAAAGTATTTCGACAAAAATATTGCGGTTAAAAATATTAAATTATGCCATTACACCACACAAATGTGCACCTCTATCAATGAGATAAACAAACTTGCACCTCAAATGAATAAATAAATATAAATCATTAATTTACCAGATCGACCTTATGACGTCATAAACCTCGATGTGACACTCTGCACATGCATTACTCAATACGCACTAAATAAACATTATAACAATAATAATTTGTACTCTCAATAAGTCCCGCTAATATTGGGAGTCTTAATGACTCTGTGGTGAGTCAGGACACCTACACCCCAAACGAGCGTGCCGAGAACTAGCCTACTTGGCCACGATTTGTTTAATAAAATGGGGTGGCACCTCGGTTAAGGGTAGGGCCGTTTCCTTATATTTACACAACATTAATTGAATCAATATTTAAGAAAAGAAATGCATACAATATAACGGGCCTCAAAATGATTGACGTCAGATCAACAAACAGGTATTAAAATATTAAAATTCAAAAAAGTAAGTGAAACGGTATGGTTGGTAAGTACTTATCTGGCTCTACAAGCCTCGACGAGATGGTGCCCTTGTGTCAAATGATGGAGCGGTTGCAAAGACGGACATGGAAGACGTTCAGAGCGGCAACAGCTCTATGCCAAGACATCAGCGGAGCGAGGACCAATTACACCAGAGGTGGAGGCCCAAGAATTCTGAGTCTTCCAGTACTTGTAATCCAATTCAAAAAACCCTAAATAAAAAACCCGTATAAGTATCCCACCTATATCGCTTAAGAAATTTCAACCCTCAAAAGAAAACCACACACTAGACTAAAGGAACATAATTACCTCGATGAGGGTTTTCGCTGAGCCAGGAATGGCTGGACTGTAGTTCGCCAGATGGACGTGTCGCTTGGAAGACTGTGAGCTCAGGGCCCCGCCCCTAGTGTGAGTCCAGGGCTCCAATACCCCAATGAATACGCTTCCAGGGGTTTTTGAGGATCAGTTCAGTGGTGAGGAGCTTCACCGACGAAAGTATCGGGTAAAGCACGTGGGCGGTGGCAAAGTAGCACTTAAAATACTCCCCAAAAATGAGTGCGAAAACCCTCAAATGCACAATTCTTTGATCCTCTTACAGGGCAAATCTTCGCAATACGGACAGGGACCAATAATCCTCACTTCATATACCAGAAGAGCACGAGATTCCAGACAAAGACTTCCGGAAAATGGTCCACTATCCTCAAAGAGCTGCTTTCCACCTCACCTCCGAACTGAGACTGCCGTACCCGAGGCATGATGGCTCCCCAAGAAAGGATTCGCCGGAAGTTCCCCTCAAATTCCTCGAAAATTGGGTACCTTTCTGATATTGGAAAATAGGCAGCATAGTTAGAAATTTCAGTTTCAAAAAAGTTTCAGTAAACAGGGTGAATTTCAAGTAATACCACTATTCCTATATCTGAAACGGTGAGAGTTACAAGGTCGATTAAATTAGAAAAGAGTTCCCTTTTTTGATGCCCGTTGAAGATTTATTTACAGTGTTGTCAAATTCCTTTTCGTTTATGAAATACAGGGTGATTTCTAAGAAACGCCTGAAATTATTTCAGCAATTATTTCAAAAACTATTGATATTCGAGACACGAATTTAAATTTGAAAGATTTATAATTTTTTTCACTCTACATCAACATCTCTACATCTTCAAATTTCAAATTCGACGTTTCATGATCATCATCAACTTCATTTTTTTAAATACAGACCTGGATTTTTTATGTCATTTTTAGAAAGGATTCATTTCCTTCGCCTTCTAAAAATGACCGAAAAAAATTATAAAACTTTCAAATTTAAATTGTGTCACGAAAATCATTAGTTTTCAAAATTATTGATGAAATATTTTTGGGCGTTTCTTAGAAATCAACCAGTATATCATAAACTAAAATGAATTTGGCAGCACTGTGAACGTATCCTAATGCCGGTTTTCCACCAAGCGGACTGTTGAGTTTTTGTTTTAAAACATGTTTTAAAACAAAAACAAAACAGAACAGACTCGAGTCTGTGTTTGAGTTTCATATTTACCGCTTCCGGACGGGACCCGGAGCGTATTTTGCCACTTTTGTATTAGGTTCTCATTGTGGGATATTTTAAACATCAGTTTTACAAAGGTGGAGTTTTATTTTTCGGGTTAATTTCGTGTTTTAAAACATGTTTTAGAACAAAAACTCAACAGTCCGTTTGGTGGAAAACCGGCATAACTGGAAATCAAAAAAGGCAACTTTTTTCTAATTTAACCGACCTTGTAGCTCTTGCCGTTTAGGATATAGCAACAGTGGTATCACCAAGGGTATCAGTGGGTATCACTTAAAATATACACCCTGTATAACAAGAAATTACCTGAGTGCTTCATAGTAAAACCATAAGTAGAACCTAATAAGTAATAACCCAATCATTATTTGAGGTTATGTCCCCTAGAAAATGAATAGTAGCCGCTGTATAAACTGTATTCTGATGAACTAGTACCGGCAAGCAGAGGGCACCAAAGGCTAGCGAAAACCCGCCTATCAAAACCGATTTTTAAGGGCTAAAAAAGAATTATTTGCTTTAAAAATTTATTTTAATAATCTTAAGAAGTGAATTATCATGGCTAAAAAAACGCATATTAATATTTCATGTGTAGGAATGAAAACATAATCAGTTTTATTTATTGTTATATGAAGCGGTTTTAGAGTGGCCAAGGTTTCGGATTGAAGCATATGCTTTGCTTGGTCGTTTAAATCGTCGGGAAGTTGTGATACGTCACAGCTTATAAAATATACACGCAAAAATTCAGGGTCGGACTCAGAAATATTTTTATGCGAGTCCTTAATATTATTATTAAGAATTATTGAGGATTCTCTTTCCCTAAGAAAATTGTCATATGAGATTTGTTGGGATTCGTAGTTGTGGTTTCGAGTATTTACAGCATTAACGTCGTAAACAGCTCGATTTAAAGCATCAGCATTAGTGTTGTATTTCCCAGGTTTATGAATAATATCATATTCGTATTCCTTGAGTTTTAAACGAAATTTCATTAATCTACTTCCAGGATCCTTCTCAGAAAATAACCATATCAAAGGTCTGGTCTGATACCCTCTGCGGTTATTGTATGGCCTAGATAAATAAGTTCAGGGCGAAGAAATTCGCATTTTTCTGGTTGTAGTTTGAGATTATGCAGGCGGAACCTATTGAAGACTTCCTTGAGTTTGCAGTTGTGTTCTTCGAGGATTTTGCCATAAATAATTACGTCATCTAGATACCCGAAACATTTGATTCCCTGAAGGCCTAACAAAACACTGTTCATTAGTTTCGTAAAAGTAAAAGGAGTCCCTTTTAGACCAAACGGCATTCGATTAAATTCATAATGGTTATGAGACGTACTGAAAGCGGTTTTATGCCTATCCTTTGGGTCAGTTCGGACCTGGTGATAACCAGAGGCGAGATCAATAGATGAGAAAAATTTTGAATTTCCAAGTTGGTCCAATATTTCGGTTATGTTGGGTAATGGAAAAATTTCTGAGACAGTTTTTCGTTAAGTCGGCGAAAATCAACTACCTTGCGCCATTTTTTGTTTCCATTTGCATCGGGTTTTTTAGGAACGACTAATAAAGGAGAATTGTAGGGAGATGATGATTCAGAAATAATACCATCTTCAAGCATTTTGTCAATTTGTCGTCTAACTTTCTCTTATTGATGATATGGTAACCGATAAGGTCTAACATTTATAGGATTGTCGTCAATGGTAGGAATAGAATGAGTAATAGACGATGTACAAGTTAATTTATCGGACTCAAGATGGAAAATGTCATGAAAAGATTTGCAAATTTCGAGAATATTTTCTCGCTCAGAACTGGACATGTGTGGCGTTCGAATTGAACGTAAGACGTGTAAGTCGATCAAGATTGCAAGGAGTTTCACTAATAGAAAGAATATCATATTGATCTAGACTTTCGAAAATTAACTCAGGATTTTCAATTGTAATCGATTTTTCATTTGTATTTATGAACATAATAAAACAATAGCCATTTACTGGCTTGACCACAGAATTACCCACGTAAACGCCTTCGAGTAATTATGCTGACAAACATAAACATTCATGAATATGAGAAGTTTTAGCTTTATAGAAGGCTTCACTTCTAGCTGGAATATTAAATTAAATGTCACTTTTTGCACAAATGGTAACGATATTATATTGTTTTCATAAGAAAGAGACAAGACGTTATTATTATAATTAATGGTAGCTTTATGCTTTATAAGAAAATCTTTTCCAAGAACACCGTCTTGTGAAATAGGAAAATTATCGTTTACTAAATATACAGGATGATTTATGTTGAAAGTTCCAATTTTAAATTCTCCATAACAGATTCCATATTGGTTAAAATGGTGATTTGAGAACCTGTATCAATTAAAAGATTTATTACGTCATTATTGGCTAAAGAATAAGGTATTACTATACTATCTGCTTCTTCTATTTGGCAGGGATTGACGCAAAAGACATTGGTTTCAGAAATAGTTGCATTAAGATGAGCATTGGGATTTCTTCTGGTATCAAGATTAGGAATAAGATTTTTACTTGTATAAGATTCTGAATTAGAGGAAGGACAAGTAAACTTTTCAAGACTACAAGTTTGCTGATTATGCAACGTATCATGATTTGAAACAGGATTTTCTGTAAAATTTGAAAAACTAATAGGATGGCAATTTAAAGTTGGGACACCGTTATTGCGGCGCCACTGATCGCAACCGGTGCTTGGGAGTTTTCCTGGTTGTGTTCATTAGGAATTACAGGTCTTCTATTATTTTGATTAGGATTATTTTTGAATTCGTCTGCTCGTTTCTTCTTGAAACAATTTTTAATGTGATATCCAGGCTTTTTGCAATAGGCACAAGATATATTTGTGATATGCACTTCGGTTTTGATTTCGCGCTTAGGAAATGTTGGAAATTGTTGTGATGAAGAGGAGCTATTTTTGATGAAACACTCATTTTCGAGATGACCATCTTTTTTTATAAAAGTTGCATTTTTTAAATGGTTTGTTTTTATTTTTATTAAAGTTTTTATTTTGATTAGAGTTTTCGCCTATATTTCGTTCTTCCTCTACAGCAGCTTCAATAGCGTCTGCGAGTTTTGTGAATCTAGAAACCTAAATTATTAATCTTGAAGGATAATTTAGACCCTCAACAAAGGTTTTAAAAGCTGTTTTTGAGTTCAAATTGTGATTGTTGTTGCCGCTGCAGCTCCTTCTGAAGCTATACAAGCATCATTAAGATCACTTAAGAGCTGCTTTATTCTATTTGCAAAGGTCGTAACTGATTCAATGTGCTGTTGTTTAGCTCTTATTAATTCGGATTGTAATTGAGCAATGCTCCTAGTTTCTAGAAACTGTTCTTGAAGAGCGAGTTTGAGATCATCCCATTTCTCGAATTTTTTGTGTTTAACCACATTATAGGCAGAACTCGATAATTTGGAAGTTATGATGTTAACTAATAATAGGGTAGTGGACAAGGTATATTTCAATGAAATCGATGATCTATTCTTCATCTATGAAGTAAATAAAAGATATTCGTATTAAAAGAAACTTCAGATAAAATTACTAACTTTGTTTAAAACGGTTGTAAAAGTAGAGTTTTGGGACGCACTATTTAAAAAGAAATATTTCGCGGCTTGATTCTAAGTCATAGCTGCTGTATTTGAGTATGAATTAAATCAAACCTACGTCCGATATTCGACACAAACTTACTCATTAGTGCAAAAAAGAGAGATATATCAGCGTCTGTCGGGTATCCTTACATTTAGGTGCACCCTCAACATAACCCCACTTTTTGAAAGATTTCCATTTGTCAATCAGTGCGCACTGAGTTTATCGGCATCTTTTTCTAATAGCATGTAAAATATAAGGACGCGCAGACCCCGCTCTCGCCACTCTCATCATAACAGCTGTGACGTAATTTCCGGGCGGCAAATTATAGCGTTTCAAATAAATACAAATTTGTTAATTTTTTTTTACGTATATTTTTGTTTTCAATCAAATCAAAGAATCATCAACTACTGTTTATTTTGTTATGAAGATTAATAAAAAAAATATTTCAAAAAATTGTCCACTACCCTATTGATTATACGAGGCTTGAGACAAATCAGAACTAACAATGTCGCAACATGAAGTGAATTTATGAAAAGTTTTTCTATCCCCATTGAAATCGGGAATTAATTTTAAGGCAAAATCTACGTTTAATTTAGGCATGTCTTGTGTTATCCCAGTTTCAACAAAAATAATAGATGAATCGGTTTTTTGATTTATATTAGAATCGATCGAAGAGTCTAAAGAATTGTCTTCAGAATTATTTTCAGACATTAAGAAAATTATACATCACTACAATTAAAGCATTCAAAGCCAAAAAAAAGAAAGAGAAAAAAAATAAACAGTTAAAAAAAATAGAATGAATCCTGACGAGCTACGAGTCCTCTTCTTGGATGTTGACTCTGGATTATCTTGGACAAATGGCTTCTAATTTTGGAAATTTTTTTGCTTTCCGTCACTAACACCGTTCACCTCAAACCAACTGATCTGATTTTCTTAGCCAACCAATGCATCCAATAGATGCAACAAACCAACCACACATCTGACACCAAATTTATGTTGCGGGTACACCACAACTTTAAGAGTTGGAGGTTTACGAAGTTGCAGGTCAAGACGTTGGTAATTGTATCGGTGTAGGAAAGCAAAATTAAACACTTTTGGTACACTTAACTAACTTAACTTTATTATAACTTGAATAAAAAAAATAGGAAATTAAGGAAAATAAAGCCGTAAGATGGTTACTCAAGAAATTGGAAATAATATATGATGTGTTTGCGTTAGCAACAAACAGTTTTATTCGCACTCCCGTAGCAGTGAAATGAAAATATATAAAATAAGGATAGCAATACGACGACAACGGTTTGCTGCTTCAGCATTTATAGTATAAACAAATTGTAATAATTAGAATATTAAACTGTTTTATAATGTTATGGAATTTATTTAATATAAAAAAAAAAAAGAATGCGATGACACTATAAGCTAAAATCTACTTTACAACAGGGGATTGAGTCAATGGGATTTTACATGGGAGTTGCAAATGGTGCCCTATCAATTTCATGGCAAGACTTGATGACCAAGTTACAAAAAAAGTATGACAATCAAAACTGAAATTTATTGAGATTGATTAACTTGCAGTTATGACACAATAATTGGGTCTCTTGTTAAGCTTATAGAAGCTTTGAATCTGACATGTAACATTTGATATAAATACAATAATCGAGACAATAATAGCTCCAATTAGCATAACGAAAAATGTCTAAGATTTGTATTAGAAACGCCTACACACTGAGGGCTTTCTTGAAAAAAATTGGTCTTGAAAATTGTATACCTGATTTCTCAGTGTGGAGCTCAATTTCTTCAGTTGTTTTAAAAATTTTCTTGTTTCCGCAATCATCACAAGTAACAGATCGAGCCAGTAGCTGCTAGTTTGAGACGTTCTTCGGTTTGCTCGTCTTGACTTTTTAAGAGCTAGGGCTCCAGTTCTTGCTGTGACTTCATAGGTTCCGGTGGTTGCAGAACCCTCCAAAGTGTTAGATGGGCCTGCAGTTTCAGTTTGAGCTGAGCTGGGCTTCACTGATGTTGTTGATGGGGTTGCCTCACCAGCAAATGGAGCCGCGTCCAACTTTCCTGCGTGGCACATCATCCAATCCATTAACAGTTGTAAATCATGGCTGTTGGTTCTTGCAATAGCAAGTTGGAAACTCTAACTCAGGGGTTGTAGGTTCATTGCCAGTTTCATTAGCATTTTGCCAGAAATAAAACACTATTTACAAACAATGTATAAATTTAATTATAAACTTGTAGATGACCAATATATCGTATAATGACAATTATCAAACAAGTAACAAAATGATTATTAAATTAATTAATCAATCAGTGAACAGTATTGTTCGTTTATCCAAATTAACAATATTAGAATCATAATCTTTTGAATCTATATTTTGGTCTTTACTTATCCTTTCAAATTTTGGCACTTATCTTATGTCCACAGAGAAGTTGTTGGTTGCTGGATCCTTATGAGCTCTTCGCCTCGGTACCAATTTGCAGACAGTATCTTAATTTGTGTTCCAAGATATTCTGGTAATATGTATGGTCAACACTGCTTATAAACAGTTGACACCAGATTCTTGACTTTGCCACTGGTAGACACAAATTATTCAATAATTGATCTTCTGACTCGGAGGACTTCAATGACTCTATAAAAGATCCAGTCGCGAGACAATCGTCTGACACTTGCCTAGTCAGCACGATTTCTTCAGCCAAGTTTTGGGATGTTACATGAAATAAAAAAATTGATATTAGACCAGATATAAAGATTCAGGTTGAATGAAGGGAAAAATTACTACTATGTACTAATAATAATCACTAATAAAGTTATGTACTTTATAAAATTACCTTTATCAACAAAAAAGGTATCTATCCACAATTACTCAAATTTAAACTGTCATTTCTAAAAATTACAGCAATGTAGAATTAATATTGGGTATAATTATATACCATCAACATTTGAGTAGGTAAGATAATTATCAAGGTAAGTTATAGATAGATATATAATAAAGATAATTGTGGTAATAAAAAATATCACCAGAGATATCAATCAGAAAAGATAAGTACCTATGGCTTTTCGAGCGTTCAGGCAGCAATAAGGAAATTAGGAATTAAAATCAAGATAATTACATCCACGACATTTCAATATTTTCCACTTTAAAATTCATAAGTTATATCCGTTAATATGAAACCAATTGCCATAAGAAAACTTTAGTAAATTCCCGAATAAATTCAATTAAACTTCTAAAATAGAAGAATTAGGAACTATACTAAATTTCTCGCAAAATTAAGATGACCTGATGGCAACTGATTCAAATGACAGACAAAAAAACAAGGTGAAAAGAAATGTGGCGTTTTCTCTAGAAATTCAAATAAAAATATACTAGGAAATTCAATATATAATTAATCTATAAAAAGATTAAATTAGAGTGTACTTTTATTTGACTTTCCAATTATTCACTTACGTGAAAGTCCCACACGATGTTCAAAAAGAAAATGTCAGGAAATCTGATTTATCTAGAAAATAGATAAATAATTCTCAAAAATAATTACCTGACAGTAAAAAGAAAACCTTGCTCTATTGAATTAAATCAAAAATTTATGAAAACCTTGAAATGCCGGATGGATGTTTAAAGATACAAAAAAAATCCCCTTTCACTTACCTGAAGACTCGAAACACAGCCTAAATCTCAATCTTCCCAGCCTATTTATAAATTTTTAATGAGCCTGAACAATTAATTGACAGCAATTCAAAAATTTGAATTCATAAATAACTGCATCTCTTACTATTCGCCGCGAAAAAAGAAGAATAGAAAATAGTTCAAGTTCTCAAATATATCGATAAAAGTAGATAGCGGACGAACACTGCAATTTTGCAGTATCAATAATATAAATAAATATAGTATCCTCCAGAGATAATCGAGATTCGTACAAAAAAGTATGTTTATATTATCAGCAGGACTGCTTTTAGTCAGGGAGCACGTGTCATAAATCGCTTGAGTTCAAGAATATATTGGTTTGAAATTATTCGGTTTAAATTGTAAATAATGAGAAAATATTTGGTTTGATTTTCCATGCTTTTCCATCCATAGACGCGTTTCGACCTATCAGGTCTCATCAGTATGGCTAGGAAAAGCAAAGAAAACCAAACCAAGTTTCGTGCCTGTAGGCAATATATACATAGTACAACGGTCGAAATTTGATCGTGGCGCCATCTAAGACAAAACTTTGGTTGGCCGATTAGATTACTCAGTCACCATATTGCAGCGAAAATTGCTGCTTGGTGTTGAAGTTTTGTCTTAGATGGCGCCACGATCAAATTTCGACCGTTGTACTATGTATATATTGCCTACAGGCACGAAACTTGGTTTGGTTTTCTTTGCTTTTCCTAGCCATACTGATGAGACCTGATAGGTCGAAACGCGTCTATGGATGGAAAAGCATGGAAAATCAAACCAAATATTTTCTCATCAGTGGATAATAGGTTTTCCTATTCTGGGTTTCCCCACGAACTGAAATTTGGTTGGCCGATTAGATTACTCAGTCACCATATTGCAGCGAAAATTGCTGCTTGGTGTTGAAGTTTTGTCTTAGATGGCGCCACGATCAAATTTCGACCGTTGTACTATGTATATATTGCCTACAGGCACGAAACTTGGTTTGGTTTTCTTTGCTTTTCCTAGCCATACTGATGAGACCTGATAGGTCGAAACGCGTCTATGGATGGAAAAGCATGGAAAATCAAACCAAATATTTTCTCATCAGTGGATAATAGGTTTTCCTATTCTGGGTTTCCCCACGAACTGAAATTTGGTTGGCCGATTAGATTACTCAGTCACCATATTGCAGCGAAAATTGCTGCTTGGTGTTGAAGTTTTGTCTTAGATGGCGCCACGATCAAATTTCGACCGTTGTACTATGTATATATTGCCTACAGGCACGAAACTTGGTTTGGTTTTCTTTGCTTTTCCTAGCCATACTGATGAGACCTGATAGGTCGAAACGCGTCTATGGATGGAAAAGCATGGAAAATCAAACCAAATATTTTCTCATCAGTGGATAATAGGTTTTCCTATTCTGGGTTTCCCCACGAACTGAAATTTGGTTGGCCGATTAGATTACTCAGTCACCATATTGCAGCGAAAATTGCTGCTTGGTGTTGAAGTTTTGTCTTAGATGGCGGCACGATCAAATTTCGACCGTTGTACATTGTAAATAATGTTTAAAATAATTTTCCAATTTTCTTAAAATATCTTTCACAAATTTAATGCAAGAAATTAAGTACTTAATCGAATCCAGAACAATACAATAATACTACACGCAAAATGAATTTAATTGATGCTCTTGGACTAAAGGACCCCGCACACCTTATAAGGGATTTTGGCGATCGGTCGATTTTTTTCAAATTTTGATATGTTGTAGAGGATTTATTTCTCAAGAACCTTTAAATGGGACGAAATCTTGTAGGTATTACGATCATTGAGATATAAGCATTGAAAGATGAACTTTTTTGCGAATTTTATTGTGGAGAGTATACGAAATACTGGTGCTACTGGTGTTTATCAGTCAAAATATTGACAGGTTCACATATTTCACGTCAGTAGGTCTGTTCCCACAGGAGTCTCTGACAGTTTGAAACCTGTCAGAAACAATCGCTCAGCTGAGTTACAGATTTATCTTGTAACGACAGCATCGAAAACATGTATGGGCGATAGTTACTGATAGTTTGCAAACTATCAGAGACTTCTGTGGGAACAGACCTAGTAACAAATTAATGCCAACATAGGCTAAGGCCGGGACCGCACTGGGGTCAATGGTGGCGCCAGTGTGGTCCTGGCCTTAGCCCATGTTGACATTTGTTAGTGACGTAAAATATGTAAACCTGTCAATATTTTGACTGATAAACACTAGTATTTCGTATACTCTCCACACAAAAGTCGCAAAAAAGTTCAACTTTCAACGCTCGTATCTCAAAGACCGTAATACCTACAAGATTCCGTTCCATTTAAAGGTTGTTAAGAAATAAAGCCTCTACAACATATCAAAATTTGAAAAAAATCGACCGATCGCCAAAATCCCATATAAGGTGTGCAGGGTCCTATTCCCAACCCTTATCTGTAGAGTTTTTGCTGCGGTTTTTGTTTATGCGGGCATCGCCGACAAACAAATAATTTTTTGTAGGAATCTCGATTATCTGTGGCGGCCACTAAACCTTGGTTAATTCGTACCGTCGGCAATAGATTTTCAGATACTCTAGTCATCATCGTGTCAAGATCAATAACTCTTTGAAAAATATAAAGTTTAAATTTTCATTAATAGGTACATTCAAAATAATGCAACAATTGAATTGTTACAAGTGACATAAAATTTTACGGCCCATCGTTTGGTATTTTCAATTTTGGCGTATCTTGTGAAATAGAGAAAATAGCTCATTTTAAACTACGTTAAGTCCATAGCTTCCCTTGAGGCAAACAATGTTAAGTACCGTTAATATCATTCGACTCTGAATCTGTGTTCAGTTTGAAAAACTCCACCACCTTGCGAGTTTTTTGTTCGGTACAATCTCTATTATTTACAATGCCTCATACGAGATATGCTCCGTGGTCTTCAAACAAGTTTGATCTAGTTAATAAGGCATACACTAATTATTGTTTTCTTTATTGTTGTATTGTTGTAATGGACGTAACATAGTTTACCACCAGCATAATTAAATAATAATGGTGGTTTATTATATTTTTGTCAAAATAGAAAAATAAAAACGCTTGACGTAGATAGCGTAGGCAACGATTTTCTGATATCCCTAGCAGTCCACTTGATGCAAGCTAGGAGAACGAACCCTGACATTATCTGTTACAAAACCGATTTTAGTAGAGATTTTTCAAAAGTCGACTTTCACGGAAAAAATATGCCAAATGACTTCACCTCTTCATTGATTCCACCGATTAGAGAGGGACTTCTAAGCCAATTTCAGTTAAAAAGTTTTGTTAAATTTTCCAATAATTAAACACTAACTTATGTAATGAGCAAGTATAGTATCATTTTCCTTCCCGATTCACCTAAGGTTAAGTAAACTGCAAATATCTCAAGTGCATCCATCAGGACATA